TCCTACGGTCCATTAAGGTGTTTACACGGGAGACAAGAACTTTGAACCGTCCGGTTTAATCTCTTAAGCGCTTCCCGGACCGCCGCCCGCGAGAAGAGGGGAGGAAGAAATCCGTTCTCGCCCGCTTCCCTCCCTCTAAACCCCTTGTCTCTGACGATTCCGGAGAATGTTTATGAATTACCACATGACACGCAGAGTCCGACAATGCGCGCGGGCGCTTATCCGGTGGTTTCGACACCGCCCACGTTTACGACCCATTCGGCCTTTCGTGGAATTCGGAAAACACGTATCCACGATGTCTCATGTTTTCTTTTAGGGAACACGTCGCAAAACCAGTTTTCGGAATGTTTTTTTTTTTTTTCGTGCCTATACACCGATCGCTCCGTTTAAAGACACAAGGATTTTGGAGAACACATGAGGAACGTGAGGCCTTGCGTCTTTAGATAGTACGCCGCGTGTCAATGCCTCGCGTGTGCCGCGACGCACATGTGCGTACGCATTTCTATCACTCTCAACGATCGAGTATTCAAACATTCGCGATACTGCGGAGTATTAATTCAGTTTGTCCATTAATGTTTTGCTGCGACGACTTTTAAAGAGTTCCTCTCTTTTTTTTTTTTTTTCTAACGAATATCAATATTATTTATTAGTGACGTAAGATAGCAGAACATATTATTTAATTATATGTATTATCTATTATTTTTGATTATTTTTCCATTAGATATTTTATTTTATATTAACTTATGCTGCTTCTAATATTAGTAGCTGTTGACATCAGTTTATTTTCTTTAATATAGGATTATGTTGAAATAAATTATCCAACTTTTCGGACCGTCTTTTAATATAATACTAAATAATGCATCTAATTAATCTCGCGTTTCATAGACGATTTATTAATTATGCTCTTAATATCGTCAAGTTATTTTATTAGATTCCTGAGTTTTTATTTTAGACGTAGCAGTCGTAGCGTAGTTTGATTGTTCATTGTAAATTCCACGGCATTATCTCTCATTCCGCTTTCTACTACGTTCTAGAAAAGCCGAATGTATAGCTGCCAGTTATCGATCACGCGACACGTGCCGGTCTAGACAGATTGACACGGTAACCTACCGGTCAGCCAATAATAGCGAAACCTTAGCGATGTATAGTTGTCGGTGTTTTACGCATTGTGAAATTTCTCAAGTACGTCAAGAAATCCTATTTAACGCGCTGCATTGATCCAGACGATTTCGAATTTCCGTTCTCAAGCGGCAAACTTTGTGCAAGACGCAGCGGGAAGTGTTAATATCCTCACGATAAGATTTCCTCGTTTAAAGCACCGGAAACTCGGAATCGTCTGGATCAATGGAGCATGTCATGCAGAATTTGTTGAAATTCATAATGCATTAAAAATTAATAAGAATCGGTAATTTGGCACTGAAGGTAATCATCGAATCGATAACCGTTATCCCTAAAGTAGATCGATACGTTTGGAATTTTTGCGATATTAATGATATGAATATCTGCGTTCTAACTGACTCTTTTTTGATTTTTGTATTTATCTTTTCTAAAGGATTGTTATAAAAAAGAACCAACACGTACTACGAAATAGCGACTTTCACCATTAAATATAACGTCGGCGAGCCTTTGAAATGTCGCAACGCAACATGCCGACGAAACGGCACGGGACTTTAATGCGAAGCAGCCGATGTATCTCGCGTATTCTCCGCGTGCTCTTCTCTTCGATCGCACGATTTCGTTAACGGGCGACAGTCATCCGTCATCCGGATTCGGCTCGTCGTCCAATTAACCGCCGTATACGAGCGACTTCGTTTCCTCGCATTCGAGGCTTCGCTCGCGTGCTTCTCGCTCTTTCTCTCTTTGCGAGTGCGACGCTGAAACTCGAGCGCCTCTACGCCGTGGTTCATTCATCATCCCGTTCACGGCGAAATCCACATAACTGGAACACCTTTCATCCATCACGCGTCCGCTGGCGCGACCCGCTGCTGGAGTTCCGAACGACTTCATCCGGTTCTAACGTGGTCTCTCTCGGCCGCGAGCTACGGTACGGAGTCGGCGCTTTCGTCATAATCATCGTTATTAACATCACACGGCGCTCGTTGACGATCCTTCGCGATTACCTTAGATATCATCGTACGCTCCATTCGTGGAGGAGTCGAGGGATTCGACAATGTCTTCTTCCTTCTCCTCTCTCGTCTCTGAAAGCTTCGCTCCTTCGCTCTCTTTCTCTTGTTGGCGTCGCAACAATTACTTAGGAATGAAGTCCGAAAGTACCAGTCGGCGAGGCGAGAAGGAGATTAAAGAAGTCCGTGGAGAGGAATCCTCCTCGCTTGGGCAAACGGCTAAGTACCCGGTAATTTATCGCTCCTTGCACGCGTATCGCACGGCGCTATTAATCCTACGTGAGCGTGAATATTAATCCGACAAAAACAAATCTGAGACTAACGCTCTCCTAGGAAAAGGTTCTCGCGTAAGAACTTTCTACCCCGGAGTGACGTCGAGCGTCTTAAAGATTGCGAGAATTTCTCCATCGAGGCCGTCGGCGATAATTCGAGTGGCGAGTATCGCACCGCGAATTACTCGGCACATATTTATCGCCGCTAAACACGGTGTCGTTTCATCGTTCGTCGCCCGTTAATAAAATCTACGTTTATGAATTTCGCGCGTATCTAGCCCGTAATAAGCGGCGGATTTCATTTCGAGATAATATCGCGCGCGATGCGATTTAGCTCTCGGCGCATCCTCGCGGCTAATAAACATCCGACCGCGCACCGCAGTGAGGATTTCGTTCACGAATACGAGCGGCCGAATCAATTTCGGAACGCCATCGCGCTGCCGCGCTCTGCCGCCGAGATAAAATCCTCATCTTCCCCGAATCGCCGTAAAGCCGTTTATTGCGCGCCGCTGCGTCTTATTATCCGTCCCGCGTCGCACCGAAATACATCTCGGTCTGTATCTCGTCCGCGGACTCATACATCGCCCTCGCATCTCGCAATGTAGAGCGAGACCGTTTCTGACGGACAGATTAGATCTGCAAGTTTGAACGATGTAAATAAGAAAGTTTACGAATTATTTTGCGAAATTAATTTGAATATTCTGAATCTCATAAATTAATTCAATTCATTTTCACGCGGCAAAAGAAACGAAGCTTTGTACATGAATTGTAATTCATGTGCGCTTTAACCTCACTCTTACAATAACACATACACTCCATCCTTTTGTATCATGAATTCAACCCTAGTTTACGCGTCGCGGCGTGCGTTCCGAGATCAACTCGCGAAACTTCGAAGTACCTCTCGGCGCCGACTGCATCCGCGGGCGCATCCGAATTTTACACGTATCTCGTGCTAGTCCTAAGACGTTTATCTTCCAAACCGCCGCCTGTCGTGAGCCCTTCTCGCCGTCTCATCCAACAAAAGCCATTGTTTCATCGAAGCGCGACGTGGCCCGAATAATTGCCTTATCGACACGGCGCAACTTTCCTCGAATTATATTACTTGTTGCACCGGGCGCTGCCACAGGCTCTTCGTCCGCGGCGATGCGGTTGCGTCGGCGGTTCCGTCGCGGTCTTTTCACCGCGGAATACAGGGGACGCGATACGTTTCTCATATTTCAAGCCGCTCTCCGTGTCTGAAATAGTCCGCCGCGGAAAACTAGAATTCACGAGCGAGAGGACGCGGCGGAGAAGCCTCTATGAAAGTTTCTCACGTGAGAATAGTTCTGAATTAGGTTATTCGAGGCTCGTGGCAGTACACGGTAAAGCGAAACGGCTCGTCCGGTTGCGGTTTCGAATGGATTTAACTCGAGAAGTGATGTGAAATGTTCGCTGAATCCGTAGCGGTCCGAAAGAAGATTTCATCTCTCTTTGAGCTACGATTTCGTCGAAAGATTTAACGCGCAATGTTCATAAATTAAGTCGATAAAGGACCACCGCGTCCACAGCCGGGAATAATAATGCGCCACTTTCGTTCTCTGAGGCTTTGATTATTCATGAACTGACGATATGGGATATCGTTCCGAGGACTTTATTGCGTCCATTCGCGCACTGGCGGAAGTCGAGAATTAAGATTTAGTTTGACCGTTCCGCATTCAGCCAGGGCCATTTGTAGACCTTTTATCGCCGCCGCGTAGGAGTACACGGAAGTGCACCGCACGTTCCACATGCATTAAACCTTCGCGTTCGGCGCGGATACGCCGTACTTAACGCTAGCAATAACTCGTCGCGGGTACCTTCGGGAGATTTTTTTTTTTCTCTTTTTTCCCGACGTATTGATACTGGCCCCCGGCGCCTCGCGTGTCGAGGGAATAGAGCCACTTTCGTGTTTTAAACGCGTATGTCACAGCCAAAGTGTCCCGCACGTGTCTCTCGGAAATTCCCCCTGGGACAGCGAAGTGCAGAAAGCTAGAAATTAGAATTCGCACCGTGATATCCGACGCGGAGACTTGCAGCGGAGTGCGATAGGTCTCTCATATTTCAACCCTCGGCGCGCATCCCACCGCGCGTGCCTTCTGCCGACTGCGGAAAACCAGTTACTAGAAAATAGGATTCGAATGGGGCGACGTAATAGCTGTGCTTCTCGAGCTTAGCGACATGTGGCGAATCTTTCCAATTTTCGAACGCATTGTGCACGTAGAAAACCATTTTCCGGAATTTCCAGCGAGATTATTGGACCGTCCAATAAAAACAGAACTATTTTATTGACCGTTAACCTGATAAACCGTTTTCTGCAACTGTACGCTACGATTTTGCAATCATTTATCATAGCGCCGTCTATCTTTGTCCAATACTTTATACTAATTTAGTAAAATAATGAGCTAAACAATCTGTGCAACTGATGCACATCTGATGATTATATAATAATATTTTCATGTGTATAAAATATATTATCTATAAGAAATAATTATAATAAGGACATTTGATGTCATATGATTATTCCTAGGACACAAGACTTATGTATAAGAAACACATCTGAATTTTAAACCGTAAATTATTGTTTCAGGCGACGAAAGCTTCTTATAGAGTACATTGCCAAGTTTGGGGTTAAGAGGCTGACTTTTAATCTCACCGAAGAGCCGTGGTAAACACAGGAGGAAAATTCCATTCTCCGAGCTATTTCTGAGAATCCGTCGTCTTGTCGGTATGTGTGCATTTAGGTTGAGCGACACTGAGCGCCGGGAGCACGTGGGTGCGGGGGCAAAAAGAAGCGCGATAGGGAAACACGTGGGAGAATAAGAGAGAAAGACCAGGAGAGTAACGACTCTGCGAGCGTAACTTATCTACGACATGCAGGCGGCATGCGTGCGTTTGCTCGTGTAAATCGTCTGGTTTACCTTTTCCTCGGTCGTGCGCGATCTTCTTCTCTCGCGATTAATACGAAGCGGAAAGAATACGCGTAAATAGCGTTACGTAACACCAACGCAGAGCGTGTGAAATTATAGCAGATGATAAACAGTTGTCTCGCAATTTTATTTGTATTAACTCAATTATTTTTGAAAGAACATATTATTCTAAAATTTTTTTATTCTTCAGAAAATATTGAAATTTGATATTTTACATATTTCAGAGATAAAGCATTTTGCATCTTCTATAAATAACTGTCTGTATAAAAATCCATCGGTGAAAACGTATCTTTTAAAAGCAGTGAGATTTACACAATTATACCCCATATTTTCATAATTTATTTATCATTCTCGTTATAATTTACCTTGAAAATATTTTTCCCATTTGCGTTTGAAATGCCGTACGACTGAAAGGGAAAAGTGATGCAATAACGATAATTGAATTTCTTTCGTTTAATCTCGCAAATATGTTTCCGAGAGTAAACGTAAAGATAAAAAAAAATGAGGGCAAAACATTCGATAAATGCCGAGCGTGACTTTTTTTTTTACTGTTCGTTCTATTAACGCAGATGTATAGCGCGAATTTTCCTGGTTATAATTAACGTTTTAATTGCGCGACGATTGCAGCGTATTTATCGCGCGAAATGAAATGCGATGAAATCGTGATACATAATTTCGCTATCCACCTTGTTTACGCTGAACGTTATCCGATACATATGGTATCGCGCTGCGATATGTATTCTCTATCGACGAAAAGTGACGAGTATTTCCTCGCGGAGGAAATAGGGAGGATGTCCGCGGCGAAATTTTATGACGACGATTAAATTATGCAAACAGGCCAATATTTGTCGTACTATGTCGATTCGCTGTTTTACGCGTTTTACCGATATCGAACAATGAAATTCCGTGGCCGGAACCGCATCCCTTGTGCTGATATTTATTCGATCTTATTAACATATTCGCGTTATTTAGCAATTTATTAGCGGGCAAGATTCTAAACGATAACGTCACCAAGCACACAACTCTGCTTGTACCAATCTAAAGTTGCAACAGTTGTAAACAGTAAAGTAGCTACCAATCACGAAACTTATATTCCTGAAACGCAAGAATCTTCATCTAAAATTCTAATTTATGAAGCAACGCGATAACCGGATTTTTTTTACCTCGATTTTCGGATCAACTATTTTTAGTTTTACTACGTCTTCTTCTCCCGCTATATACACGAGCTAAAATATCAAGAAATGAAAAGAATAGAATAAAAAACGATATTTTTTCAAGTTGCTACATTATTAAAAAAATATCAAAATTATCATAAAAATGAGAAAAAGGAAGAAAAAATAGAGAATTCAAAAAATAACTATGATAATGTCAACTTTCTGAAACGTAAAATTAATATTAAAAAAATAAAGTGAAAGATTTATATTAATTTAAAAATATGTTTAAATACATTGGTTGTGAAAAAAAGATTAAAAGAGAAAAGTGTGAAAACGGATTGAGAAGACGAGGTCAGCGAATATTGAAATTCTGTGACTCTTGAACACCCGATAACATCGATTTCCTTAAGTGTAAAATTAAAATTTCTCGATGTGGTAATATTGGTTCTTTCCGATAGATTTCAGAGAAATGGAAAACTTATAATTCGTATAGGAAAGAGGAAAGAAATAGAACGTGGAAGAATACTGAGATGGCGTCGCTTTTTCTCGCAAAGAAGAAAACGAAAATGCGGAGAAGAGCGGATCGTTCCACATTCCAAAATTTATTTCCGTTTAATATCATCCACAACTGCACTCTTCGCGTATATTGTAGTAATATTATCGAACACGCGATAACGTCGCCACGTGCGCGCTGCATTTATGCTCTTTATCTTGCCGTTGTAAGATTAATGTCAAAACATTGGTTTAACATTTCTTATCGAAATCTATCAAATCATATTCGTACGAATAAATGCGCATATGTCGGGATTTAATGAATAAAAGCTTGTTCTAAATGCGCATGAACGATTGAATCTCATACTGATATCTTTTTAAATACACTTTATAAAAGTTTGAAGCCACGCAGACATATTAAGCGCTAAGTGTGTGAAACCGAGCAAACGGATCGATAGAATTTCATGACGTGTTACTTCGAGACCCCAAGAATACTCGATTTCGCTATCGTAAAGTCCATTCTCGATATTAGTCTCGGACACACTCGGAGTGAGAAATAATGGGAACGGCTTCGCGCCGGCTAGTAACTCGAGATAAAATAATTCCGTCTCCATCTGGGAGTTAATCTCGGGGGGCTTAATCAACAAGAAAGACTAAGAAAGCCGCGCTGACATTTGAGCCAGTAAACTTATTCTACGGACGTGCCAACTTCAAAAAGAAGGAGGGCAACTCCGTATAATTACCGGGGCCAGACCGGTCTTCGGAGCCCGTCCCTTGGGGTGTGCTGCTCGCGAAGAAACCTCATCTGTAAGGGATGATCATCCAATCCTTTGTTTTTCGTGACAACGGTTTTCGCGTTAGTCGTTGAAACGTGACGAGCCCAGTGAAGAACTGGTTAATAGGCGCTTCTTAGAAAGAAAAAATCAATGAGATAAGAAGTCTGCATTATACAAATTTATATTTATTTGACTTTATTCAATTATTTTTATACAACGACATTTTTGATTGTAACAATTGTAAGCAATTTGTTAGCAATGTTAAAATATCTGTAAAATGGTTTGTTTTCTAAATATGCAGATGCGACATATACGTGAGAAGATAAAAAGAGAAACAGATCATAGAAGTGTACCATTTCAAAGCTCGCGGAAAAATCTTTATCCAGCTTCATTCGGGTTTACACGTTGTATTAATGCCGTGGAAAAAAGAAGCGCAGACGCCGCAATAAGAAGACTCTCAGCAAAGAAACGTCGATCATCACGATTACGGAGGCGCCGTCTGCAACGCGCAATGTTTATTTCGTCGTAAACGCCAGGCGGATTACATCGACGCGGTAATGATCGCGTTTTATTCGAGACACTATTGCGATGATCGTGCCTCCCGCGATCGAGGGAGCATAATTCTCCGCCTCTCTCGCAGTTTCTCCGTCTGCGAGAATTTCCCTAGTCATCGAGAGTGCTCCTAATAGACGACCGGCAGCGTAACAGTCTGGAAAATATTTTATGCGGGAGATTTCCCTGACTGAAAGGCGATAGACGCGGCAATGGATACGCATTATGCCTCATTAAGCCGTCGTTTATATACACCTCGTAACAGGTTGCTAATTTACATGTTTATCCGCGTGAAAGGCTGGATACTACACGATACCAGGCTCTTTTAATTTCTTATTTACCGTCTGAATTAAATTTTTAACGGTTATGTAGATAGACGCGACTTTTCTCGGTGGCAGAAATCGCGTCGCATCTTCCTTCGTTCGGACGAGAAACGAGAATTGTGAGATGTTTACGGCGAGTTATGTAAAGGTCGGAGATTTCGTATAAGTTTCATTACTCTCAGATGAATTCGTCGCTATTTCAGGAAGAACTGGATAGCGCAACTTTGCGAGTTAAAAAAAAGAGCCTTGACACGCGATGCGTGTCATTCAGTCGGCGGCTACGTACTCGTTTCCATTGAGAGAGCTGTTGCGCAGATAGTTGACCTTATTTCGCCTGCTGTGCGTGCATTATCTTCAGGAAGTAAACGCCAATGCCTGACATATGGCCTTCATAAATGCGGACTATTTTGCGTTGTGCGGTTAAAAATGAGACGAAATATAATTGAATTTCGTTGATTTAATACCGTTGGATTTTTATATCTTTCCTTCTGATTTGAATAATGAACGAATAATTGTATTCTCGTCAAATTACTCTTATTGTATATTGTCTCTTGTCAACTAGTATATTGTGGTTTAGTTTGTTATCTGCAAATTTCGCCTTACATAATTCTATGAAAAAAATCGATGAATATCGTACCTATTATTAGTTATGCGCATAATCCAATGAAAGTCAACCTGCACATTTTACTTTCGAAAATTACAGATTTGCGTCGCAAATTTGCCACACCACGGTACACACGAACGCGAGATAAAATTTACTGGAATTATAAGCTATAAATTTAGCAATAATTAGAAATTTAAATGATTATATAAAATATAATATGTATACCATAAATTTTTAGCTGCAGTAGGGATTTTTTTTGTGAAGCGTATTATATTGAAAGACCTCCAAATTTTACAATGTCCTACAAATGAAGAGTATTCGATGAAACACTATAAATGATTTTTATCAATTGTTATATGGGCAATTGTATCAATAAGCATAGTTTTTTTTAGCACCAACGAATTGCATTTCCAAAACTATACTTTGATAATTCGCACTTTTGCAATATTGAACTTATTAATTAGATTAAATGAAAAATATATTTATATATATGTATATTAAAATTATTCTTGGAGCATTTTATTCTTAAAATTTATATTTAAAAAAATTTAATTTCTAGAATTAATTTTTTATAATATATGCTTTTATAAAATTTTCTTCTCTACATACATATTTATGTAACTTTTCCAATTTTTATAATTTTACGATTTAAGAGTAATAAATTGCATACATGATCTGTGCAAAATTAAAAATTTTTCATTATTTAGATGAAGTTATCGTATATTTTATTATTTACATGTAAAAATACAAATTGCAAACGGGGATGTAATTATCAAAACACGATCCTTTTAGTAATTATACAGTAAATATTAATGAATAAAACGACAGCGGACGATATCAGTAGTTCGTATAATTATACAAGTTTAAATTAGACTGAACTTGTTTATTAATATCGATATATGTATCACTATCGATATATTCGATACTACGTGCACCACCCAGCGCCACTCTCTGGCCGCCATGACATTTACATTGTATTAATTGTTAACGTTGCTCGCGAATGTCTCGTGATTGATCGCGTATTTTACCCGTTAAAAATGCGTAAATAGTGCGAGTTTTTGTCGAGAGTGCCGATTAAAGAGATGAGTGATAATGAGTGATTGCGGGAATGTATTATTTATCGCGAGTGTTCACGACTAATTGCGTCTCGTCGCTCGTCCGACAACCGCGGGATAGGTTATAAGATAGGTTATAGTCTGCAATGTAAAGTACAAGTTCCACCGAACAGGATTAAAGTGCACTACGTTTTTCGTACAAGATGATGTCGAAAATTCGGCTTCTCGAAATTGAGTCTGGATATGTCGTAATGTTGTAAAATACGTGTTTATATTTAGATGACTTCTACGTAACCGGCTAGACAGTCGTTTATCTCGTTCCGATCAATGTCAAATCGATCGCCGAATATATAAAATGATAATAATTTGATTATATGTGTGGACGCGATGTGGCATAAAGCGCGTTTTATCTTGCGTTTTCGTTTCGTGTACCGCGACATGGAAAATTCGCAATGTAAAGTTATGATTTTCGGGAGTGAAGTGTTCGGGTTGACTTTCGGCAATGCGTGTAAGTGCGGATGTTCAATGTTCATTGATCCTTTGATAAAGTTGATGCCAAATAGTCTAAGGCAGAATCTGCTGGAACAAATTGCAGTATCCTAGCTGGTGAGTATAATTATAGGTCTATTATTTAAATATGTACATCATTTTTTATGATGACATACAGATATACATTTGTATTTATTAGATATTTATCAAGATGTTTGAAAATATTTATTAAGATATTTATAAAAACATTGACTAAATATTCATACCAATTTTGAATAACTATTCATGTAATATTCATGGGTTTTTGTCAAAATGGAAATAAGTAATACATAATAATTAATGTACATAAAATATACAATATACACATTATAATAACTAATATCAATACTATTTTCAGATATAACCACGTAGATGCAAGGATGTCAATCATTATATATTCCTTCCGTATTTCGGCGGATTTACGGCGCAACGTTAATCGAAATTAATATTTGTGAGTATATATACTTAAAAATACGCAATATTTGAAATCACAGACGCAATTGTGTGCAATTTTGTTGGATAAAAACATCTCGGATTTACAATAACCTCAAATTAGTAATCTCGAGATTAGTCGGAATATAGGTGGTGATTCTTCGAGCACGGTTAGTTTTATTTCACTATTCACCGCCGTAAACGTTTGCAGCCCTGCAACTGCCATGTTGGATTTTTAGTCGCACAAGCCGCAATACGTTGTTATATATGTATTAGTGTATATTGCGTGTTATTTTCCGTATTTCAGCGAGTTTTCGGTAACGGAAGTGTACGGTATTCGTGATAGATCTTACTGCGGAACTTATCGCGATAAGAATTTCCGCGGAAATTCCTATTGTACGCGCAGGAAATTGTCGCGAAATATCGATGCTTTCTGTATCGTGCCGTACTGATGTTCGCGTTCGAAAATTAAGAGTCGCGGAAATGATTGTGCGAAGGATTTACTTCGAAATTGCAGTTGTGTTTTCATAGTCGCCCTCGCGTTGATCACGCATGTAAGTGAAAAGTGAAATAATTTGAATAGGAATTCGAAGGATCGAGGGTGCATGCTGCGATCGCTTTTTGACGAGGTTAGACAGCATTGAATTCCGGTTTATCTGACGCATTGCCTGTGATAGTCATCACATTGCAGCTGCAAATGGTGAGTATTAAATATTAAGTTTTGTTTCTTTTTACAACCGTACTTTTTTGTATTTTTTGGTCTAAAATACGAAAACTGTACATACGAATACAGTATAACTTTGTTGCCATCAGGTTTTTTTAATTCTGAAAATTTTTATGCACATTTTGCTAGTAAATGTTATTACAAAGTTCTTACAAGGAAGTTTCTTTGACGAATGCGTATGAACCTAGCATATTTTGTGGAAAATTCTATAAATAAACTGAAATTATACTGAAATATCTTTTAAGCAATTTATTATTTGAGAAAATTTTATTAATAATACATATTGAGGTAATACATTGGTTGGTTCACACACAACAGAATTCTCAAAAATATTTAAAAAATATAACTACATATAGAGCATATTTAGCTAGAGAACGACAAACGACAATCAGTGAGTGAATTTATTCATTATATTTGCATGTAATTACACAAAATACTGATATCATCCGCTGTTTTTTCACTTGCGAGTATATATTGTATAATTGCTAAGAACTGCGCTTTGCGCAAACAAAGTTAAACAAACAAAATCAAAGATTACATGAAAAGTTTATCAATCCCATTTCTCTATATCACACATGCGTAGAATGCGCAGAGGGGGAGCACAATAAAAACGTCAATCGAGAGAAACATCGAGATCCGTCGCGAATTGGAGGAAAAAAGGGAAAATAGAACGCCGAGCGCTCGCGGATCCGTGTTTCGCCACGTGGCTAGAGGCCGTTCGAACGCGACGGTGCGCCACATGATGAAATCATTTTCTCGTTTCGATGTTCCGTGCACGTGTTGCGGTTCGCCGAGTCGAAGCGTCAGCTCGATACATCGCATTGGTGGGTCCGGCCATTGCATTTCTCCCAAATCGTGCAATGAAAACGCGGATGCACCGCGCGAGTTTCGCAGAGGCGCGGACGGACAGACAGACGGACAGACAGACAGGCAGATAGACGGGCGGTGCACGTGATGTGTGTACGTGCTGCTGCAATGGTAAAAGTGACCTGTGCGTTCTCGCCCGGCTTTTCCATTCATCGCTATAAATACGAATGAACGCGCGCATCGCGTTCTGAATGACGAGCGTCAGTCTTCTCTCTCTCCGTCTCTTTCTCCTATTTTTCTTTCTCATCGCGATTTAACTGACGGTTACAAGGTGCGCGTGTTCGGGAACGCGCGGATTATTCCGACACGCGTGATCATAATGTGGGCCACGGACTCCTGCTACAAATCCGGTGAGATTTCGAAGCTGCGGATCGCTAAACGTAGCGCTAAATGCGTGCCGAAGCGAGGAAATCGAGAAATCGCGGCTGTTGTCCGCTTGAAGAAGCATTAGAAGTGATATCTTGCGTTTCGATATGCTAATATCTAATGCCGCTCAGTCAGATACGACAGTTTTCTGAAAAGTAAATAGAAGAATACGTTGCGATAGCATTTATAATTTAAATCAATAATCTAAATTCTTTCGGCGACAAGATAGTCATTCTAACGATTGTAATATGATGAAGGAGAATAATGCGCACATTTTTAGAAACCTCTCCCATAGATTACAGCAATTACGCATCGAATGGAAAGAAGCGATTTCTTTTGAACGTGGCGAAACTACGCGGCGTCACGCGTGTTTACCTCGTATGAGTAAATACGCGGCCTAAAAAGAAAGCCATTGACGTGCCTTGCGGAAAGTGGCAGGCCGCGTGCTGAAACTGTTACGTGACATACTTATGTAATTACGATTAGTCGGTTATATCGCTATTGTTATTGCGCCGCGAGTCATGTACGTCGTACGAGGCCCGTGTCCTCGCCTGGATGTCCATGACGAGCGAAATAACATCCCATCGCATTAAAAAAAGAAAGCCCGCAAGCGAATGTTTGCGTTCGTGAATATACTATATGAGGGGGGGGGGGTTCAGAAGAAATGGGGATCAAATCCTTTTTTTAAATCTATAGGTCTGTTTTTTATAGCTGAACTGGCTGCACTAGTTCAGAGTTTATCTTTCTCCTTCCAATGTGGAGGGAAAAAGATAAACTCTGAACTAGTACAGCCAGTTCAGCTATAAAGAACAGACCTTATGTATAAATGGGAAAAAAACTGAACATTTTGACCGAATGATTTAAAAGTGAGTGAAAATGTTTGAGTTAAAATTAAAAGAAACTATAGCACCCAAACGGCGTACACGTTGCATACGATTAGAATAACTTTAACTTTAGAACTAATTTGCTAACAATTAAAAATAAGCTTGATCCACTTTTTCTCTTCTAAATCCCTCACATAAAAATGACAGAGATACAAAGCGCCAATTTATGATTGAGAACGTCTTATGAAATAATATTCCTGGTGCAACAATCAGGGAGTTATTTTAGTTTCTGTCTGGAAATAATTATAAGTTTTACAATTAGAAAAGATACGCGTTTAGTTTGGAAACCATTGTTGATGTAACAGGAAAACATTTGTCAGCGCGGAATTTCTCAGAAAAAAGGAATTCCCACTGCTGGTTCTCCCCGAACGGATATCTAACGATCGTCCGTATTTGTAATAGGTGCGATATCGCGCGTCTATAAATAGCCGGACTCCGCGGAATTTCCTGCGCGTCATCGCCGTTATTTACAACGCCGTTGGTAATGAGATGCGAGAGCGGCTTTCTTCCTGGAACGGAATGATCGGCATTGGCGCCGTATCGCGAGGTAAAGCGGATGGAAACCGGGATGCGCACTGTTATTACCCGAAATGCAACACGGCTTGCTCTATTATCGTGCACCGCGCAATCTCCGTCGCGCGCGACGCGGTAATCACTTCCGAGATCGGGATAATTTACGCTTCGCCGACTTTTTTTTTTCTCTTTTTTTTCTTTTTTTTCTTTCGAGCACGCGAAAACAACAGCCGGCGGCGCGCGCGTGAAATATGCCGCTCGTAGACCATAATGAAAACGTAACGCAAACATACGGCTAAGTATGCGCAAAATAACTGCGTTAAACACGTGTTTTCTTCTCGGGAGTAGCGCGACTCCACGCGCGTAACTCACGACGTTAATCCTTAATACCGCGCTGTTACGTACGACCGTGAAACATTACAAACGGCCCGTGTGTTTTTCTTTTCCTCCTTTCGCACTGCGTAAAAAATATATCGCGTAATCATATTAAGCAGTGTACGTTAGAGCCGCGATTGCGAAGCACCGTGTGTTTTTAATACAATCGTTTTGAAAACACAGAAGTCCTCCATTAAAAATAGGATCTCTAAATATGCGTCTTAAGTTTGAGATTGTTATACGGAATTTGCATCACGTGGAAATTATCTCTTTTTTTTTGTAAGATTATTTTTCCAGAATATAAGTGAGGCTATATTTTATTTTAAAGTACAAAGTTTTAATTATACAATACTTTATTTTACAATTTTGGTTTAATACATTGACGTTTTATGCACGACTTTTCATCGTGAAGCTAATATTTAATTTAATCGAGGAGGTTTTTTTCGCGCGCGCGCATCAACAAATTCATGAGAAACATTTAAAGATAATATCGAATAAAATATAGCCTCGCATTTTAATATGCATCTTCGAGATTGGATAAATAATCGGCAGATAGTGCATTCGCATAATTACGCGCGTCTACGAGCTTGTCTTTCTCTCTCTTTTTTTCTCACTCTCGGAGAAGATTACGCAACTTGGCGCAATCGTTGTAGAATTCAGAGCTACGTATGGTGATGCGTAACATTCCGGATGGAAAAGACGTTCTGGAGCGCGGTCCGATAACGACGGCAGCGTGGGCACAATCAGCGGTCGGCGATTGTGGCGATTGCCAATATTGAGAATCGATAGCAAGGGCGATAATTGTGCCAGCTGTAACGGCGGCGTTTACATACCGCCGCACTCTGGTCGACCAGACGGGTTACACGATGTTGCGTAATCGCACGGTTCCCTGTTGAATGGAACTTGATGCAAGATTCCCGTTCATCGAATAGCATCGAACGATCATTCGGCAAGAATCGCGTCGATATCGAAAATCAATCCGGTGTCCGCTTCAGCTTTATCAATATTCGCGGTACATTCGTCGTATGTTATCTACGCAATGTTAGCTACGCAAACATTGTTAGGCGAGAACAGATGTCGTATTTAACAATAATTATGCTGGAATATTAAAAGAATAACGACCTAAGTAATCTAAGTAGGCAAAGAGAATGAGTGAGTGTAGTTGCCGCTTTTGACTATGTAGCTACTTAAATTAGGTGCGAAGTGAAATTCAACACGGATGCGCAACATTCACGCGAAATAGTTAGACACGAAGTGTCAATTTGCCTATGAACGGCTGCGGCTTCAACAACAGCCGCCGCACCACCGTTAACCAATTATCGAACGTTGCACAATGTTGCGTAAGCGCTTTTCGGGCACCACGCACCCTTGAGCGAGAAATTCTCGCCCGCGTTCCGCACTTTCTTCTGAGATAATATCGTAAATACCGACATCGAGAAGCCGGCATTCCGACGATTGTCTCAACAACGCGCAGCGGCAACAACGACATTCGCTCGGCGCGCAACGCGCAACAATGCGCACGGGCGTCGTCATGAATTGAATTCTACGTTTAGTCCTTTGTCTTTGTCTTCCTTGCCATGTTACGTGATTAAGCGAAGACGCCGCTTTGTTCGAGCGCGCCGGCACGTGTAGGTATCTCTTTCCAGCGATTCGATTTATAAAACGACGTGAATGCCGACGCGAATAGTCAGCGGAGCGTCGTCGAGCGCGACGTCGAGCTCTTCGCAACATTGTTGCGCCGCTACCAATAGCAATTATATAATGTCAGGCCGACCGCGCGCAAGCCTATACGAGCCTCGTCCTTATCCTTTGGGATACTGAGCTATTCATTTCGCGCGCGTCCGAGATTTATACAAATCCGCGCGGCGCGAACTCTTGCCGCCGCGAAATAACGGCGCAATATCGGCCGTGCACGTTAACCAGGGTCGCGTTCGTAACTTGCAGCATTACCATTGATAGTTGCACAATGCT